AAAACCCTCAAACTACATAGATGTAGATAAATTTAAGAGCTTTAGGATGTTTCCTCACAAATATTACAGATAAAGTCTTTTTTTTTTTTTTTTTTGAGACAGGGACCTGTTCTGTTGCTCAAGCTAGAATTCAGTGGCATCACCATACCTCCCTACAACCCCAAACTCCTGGGTTCAAGAATCCTGTTGCCTCAGCCTCCCAAGTGGCTAGAACTATAGGTGTGCACCACCACACCCAGTTCAATTTTATTTTTTGTAGAGATAAGGTCCCACTAGGTTGCTCAGGCTGATATTGAACTCTTGACTTCAAGCAATCCTCCCATCTCAGTCTCCCAAAGTTCTAAGCACTGTGCCTAGCCCAGATTAAGTCTTTAAGAACTATTTCTCTTACCAAATCTTCTCAGATACTACACACTAGAATGTTTATCAAGAAATTACATTCAAAGGAAAGAATACTGAAAGATAGAGGCTGTTAATCCATTACATCATAGCTATAATAGTCAAAGAACAAAGAAATTATCCAGTTCTCTGCAGTGCTTTTTCAAACTAACATTCCAACTTCTTTGCCAAGTAGGAAAGTTCAAAATTAAATGCTACCAATTAAATTCTTATTAAAGTGAGCTTCTAGAAAGGTTTCCAGGAGAGGTGGTAAACCATTTAATATATCAGAAAATTGATGATAAGACCATTCTTCACAATGTTATTTATAGAACCCTGAGTTTCTCCTACTCTGGTGTTTAATTAACCTTGAGACAATGTTTACAACATCGCCAAGCATCTTCTTAAGCGTTTAAAATTGGTTTAAAATTGTCCTTCCGTCCAATGCTACATCTAGTTGTAAGACTATGTGACAAAAACTCCACAATAGTATTTTCCCATTATAAAGGAGAAAAATTAGGCAGGGCATGGTGGCTCACACCTGTGATCCCAGCACTCTGAGAGGGTGAGGCAGGAGGATCTCTTGAGATCAGGTGTTCAAGACCAGACTGAGCAAAGCTAGACTCCTCTACTAAAAACAGAAAAATTAGCTGGGAGTGGTAGTATGTTTCTTTAGTTCCAGCTACTCAGGAAACAGAAGTAGAAGATCATTTGAACCCAGAAGTCTGAAGTTGCTGTAAGCTAGGCTGAGGCCATGGCTCTCTAGCTGGGTGACAAAGCAAGACTCTCTTATTAATTTTAAAAAGATGAAAAACCAGAAAATAAGGAAACAGTAAAAGCCAGATATAGTAACATTTACTAGATTATATTATGTCTTAGATATAAAACAAAGGCTTGACATTTTAATTAATAGTCTATGTAGTTTAACTTCTTACCCAGTTAAAGCTGCTGTAACGTTGTAAGTCCCAGGAACAAGTAATCTGTGGAAATCACCAAATATGCCTGTTGTGATATTATGATTAATACCAGCCACTGAGATGGTTGCATTCTCTAAACCAGATCCGGTTACTGAATCTTTAACAAATCCTTTAACTCCAATGTGGACCTAAAAAAACAAGAATCAAAGCTCAGAGGCTATCAGTGTGGAAGGCAAGAGGGCATAACTTCTCTCTGCAGTGTGATGCGAGAATTTCAAAAACATAAGATTACTCCTCTCTCAATCCAAAATATCTTTCAATCCCTTGAAGATGAACTAAAATATAGATAAAAATATTAGCCAATTAGTATATATTATAATATATACTAACTATACACATAATATATACTATTATATGTGTATAGTTAGTATATATTATACACTAATGTGTGTGAATTCTACATTACTACACATATAGTAGTATATATTATATACTAACTATACACATATAATAGTATAAAAGTATTAGCCAATTAGTATATATTATAATATATACTAACTATACACACATAATAGTATATGTGTATATATATATTATAATATATAGTAGTATATATTATGTGTGTATAGTTAGTATATATTATACACTACATTTATGTCATGTATGTGAACTCTACATTAATAAGATACTTTTCAAATTCCCTCTCCTCAAAGCCAGATTCATAATTTTCTCAACAAGGTATAGTTTCTGGTATATGCAATTGTTATGTTAACCTGTCTGATGTTTAAATTAAACTGATATCCATGGTTCACATGTTGGTAAAGTCTCTATAGCAAATATTATCACATGATGTTATAAGAATCTAGTAATACTAATTTGGCTAATTATATTTTTGTAAAAATGTTCTAAGACAGGCAAAGGGAGTCTGATGGGGCAGAAAGCAAGGGGTGAGAGGCAAATGAGGCAGAGCTAGAATATGTTTTAATAGACTATAATAAGAATACGTTTTAACAGACTATAATAATTGTAAAGATAATCTATAATTTTAATAGAAACATAAACAAAATAAAGCCTATCTAATAATACTATATAGATTATCATTCACATGCAAGCAAATTTTTTCCTTATTTAATCCCATTTCTATACCACAACCTTCCAGTCATCTATTTTACCTTTTCAATCAATGTGATCAAAGACTCACGATTGTTCTCCCATTCCTGTTTAAGCTGTGAGGCAGGTGGGTACTTGCAACAGGATAGTTCTAATGTGATCTCAAAACAGTTGGCCCATACATAATTATAATCTTGCATACCACCTATAACATGGAAGAAAAAATAATTTCATCCATAGAAGTAAAAGAGTTCTACCCTCCAACAGACTGAAGAAACTCCATTAGTCATCTCTCTACATATATAAATTTTCTTTTTATTAAATTGCTTGAAATTGGAGAAGGCTCTTGAGCTATGGTACAAACTAGGAAGGAAGGTTAAAGGCATATACACTGATAAAGAACACATGAAGGAAATATGTTTGATAGGATGCACAGTTATGAAAAGAATGACTACATCAGTTAATAACAGTAACAGTGAGGCCAGGCATGGTGGCTCACACCAGTAATCCTAACACTGGCACTCTGGGAGGCCAAGGAGGGTGGGTAGGTTGCTTGAGCTCAGGAGTTTAAGACCAGTATATTCTGAGCAAGAGCAAGACCTCATCTCTATTAAAAAGAGAAAAATTAGCTGGCCATTGTGGCACACACCTGTAGGAGGCTGAGGCAAGAGGATCTCTTGAGCCCAAGAGTTTGAGGTTGCTGTGAGTTATGATGCCACGACACTTACCCAGGGCGACAGAGTGAGATTCTGTCTCAAAAATAATAATTATAAATAAAAAACTAACAGTAGCAATGATAGTAGCTCTACATTTGAGTGTTTACTAAATAATAGATCAGTTTTAAGAGCTTTATGTTTATTAACATTTAATGTTTACAATTATATGAGGCAGTATTACTATGTTACCTATTTTATAGATATGAGAAGTGAGGCACGAAGAGGTTAAGATTTGTAACAGAATGATAATAAAGGGTACATATGATCTTAAAATTGTGAAGGGTAGTCATGCCAAAGCATTATCAATTACCTATTCTTCTAACTGTCCTCCCCTTTTATCAAGTAGATGTTAAAACAAAAAAGAAAGATTGCATTTAGGGTGGCACAGCTACATAAATAAGGGAAAAGCGAAAGACACAAAAAACTTTTAAAATGTATTTAACAGAAGAGAGAATTAAAAGGGGAATAAATACCCATAGTCAACCACTTTTATACCTATTTGGGGTGGCCATAAAGTTCATGTGCAATTTAAAATAGTGTGCAATTGCACACGGACTTTATGGCCACCCTGGATAAGCCCACACACACACCCATTTTGTTGAAACTCTACAACCCTATCATTTTTGCACCTTTATTTTCTCACATCTTGTTTTTAGTAGATAAAGACTAAAAAGTGGAAAACTTCTCTTTGATCTCACCTTGCTCCTGCAAGGTAGGTAGGCAAATATTTATAATATCAGATGGTTTCCAAAGCCCATGTTTTTCCATGTGAAATGGGCCCTGACTTTAGTCACTTCCTTCCATTATCCCTGAAGGCTGCCTCACAAGCCCAGGCTTGGCTTAGTCAATCCCCACAGTTCATCAAAATCCTAGTATATATCTGTGCCTGGCAAGGAGGAATTCTCATTTCCTCAGTCTTCTCTAGAGATTTTTTTTCCCCCGCTGACAAGGCAAAGCACATATTTTTGAGGGCCTTCTTTCTCCAGCCTCCACTGCATCTCAGATGGAGTTATACAGGCTCCTGCAGAGAGAAGGAAGGAGCATAATTCCCCTTTCACTGACACAGCACCAACAGGTAAGCCTGAGTCATATTCTTCTGTCACTTAGCAAGTGTTAACACGCACCTTTATTTATAGGCAAAGTGAGTGTTAGGTCATCACAAAGGATACTTCCAACTGATTCTATGTCTAAAAATATATGCTAATTTGATTATAAAAGAAAGGCAGGAAGAAAACAGAAAAAAAGACAATTCTGAAATCTGTTTCTAGAGAAAAGTCAATGTCAACAGTCTAAATGTAGCTTATTAGGAGTTCATCAAAGAACAGGGATCTGTGAAACAGTGGAGAAAAGCAACATTAACAAAACTTTGACAGAAATAGTAGCAATATTACTGGAGCCTGAACTCTTAATCTCATTTCTATTGAGGTTTCATTATGAACTTTGATATATGCCTGGTTCTTGAAATATGTCTACCTTTCCTAACACAATATGCTTCATTTCACTGGCATATTTATAGATATTTATCAGTCAGATAAAAAAAGCTAGGTTAAATGTAAAACATCAGAAACTAGTAAACTAGAAATTGAGCAATGAATCTTTAAAAATCTAGGGCTCTGGCCCCGTGCTTGAGACTCAAGTGGCTAAGGCGCCAGACATATACACCTGAGCTGGCGGGTTCGAATCCAGCCCAGACCCGCCAAATTACAATTATGGCTGCAATCAAAAATTAGCCAGGCGTTGTGGTGGGTGCCTATAGTCCCAGCTACTTGGGACGCAGAGGCAGGAGAATCACTTGAGCCCAAGAGTTGGAGGTTGCTGAGAGCTGTAATGCCACAGCACTCTCCCCAGGGTGACAGCTTGAGGCTCTGTCTCAAAATAAAAAAAAAATAAAATAAAAATACAAAAATAAAAATCCAGGGCTCTCTGAACACCAACCAATGCCATTCTGAAAAAGAACGTGCAAAGAAGGAAACTGAACACAATCCCAAAGTCACCCAAGCAGGATCACACCCACACTGGTGACGTGCAGTCTAATCTCAGAATACATAAAAGAGATGATCAGGTTACAGTCATGTTCATTCATGTTCATTCAAGCACTTATAAATAAGGCCAAGTGTTGGTTTACAATCTAGAGGAGACAACTCTATCCATAAATAATGAATGTAAACATAACAGAGGACAGTAAGGATTGTTGTATAATGATGTAAATGTACTTAATGTCAGCAAATCATACACTTAAAAATGGTTAAAATGGTAAATTTTATATTATGGATATTTTACCACAATAAAAAATGATAATAGAGATATTATGGGCCTTTGCTACTAATTCCAAATTTGGGGTTGGGAGAAGATCTAGAAAGTCTTCTTGGGGAGGAGGTTTTTTATTTAGGTATTAAAGAAGGGTAGAATAAAACTGTATGAGTTGGTGAAAGGCATATGGAGGTTCTGGAGCACTCTAGTGGAAATGGCTTTATAAAGGAGTAGGATAGGAGGGCCTAAGTATGCAGACAAAAGGCTGTGAGGATAATGAGGCCACAGTATGGGGGCAGGAGCACAGGACTGCAGGGGGTAGTGAAAGGTCAGGCTGGAAAGGTAAGCACAGTCTTAAGAGGCTTTTCCAGACTCCAGACTTGTGTGTACATCCAATTGCCAGTTCAGTATCTCTACTTAGATATCACCGACTTAACGTATTCCCAAACTGAACTCCTCATCTTCCCCAAACCTGCTCTACCCAGTCTTTCCCGTTGTAGCTAAAGGCATTTCCACCTTTTTAATGGCTCAGATGAAAAGCTTTGGAGGGTGGTGCCTATGGCTCAGTGAGTAGGGCGCTGGCCCCATATACTGAGGGTGGCGGGTTCAAACCTGGCCCCAACCAAACTGCGACAAAAAATAGCTGGGCGTTGTAGCAGGTGCCTGTAGTCCCAGCTACTTGGGAGGCTGAGGCAAGAGAATTGCCTGAACCCAGGAACTGGAGGTTGCTGTGAGTTGTGATGTCACCACACTCTGCCAAGGGTGACAAAGTGAGACTGTCTCTACCCAAAAAAAAGAAAGAAAGAAAAGCTTTGGAGTCACATTTCATATCCAAAGTGTCAGGAAATCATGCTAGCTCTAACTTCAAAATATATCCAGAATCCAGAGATTTTTTTCAACTCCACTGCAGTGTCCCTATACAAGCCACCATTATTTCTCTGCATGGATTTCTATAATCAGACCTAACAAGCTTCTCTGTTTCTGCCCTTTCCCTTCTATATTCTTTTCCCAACAGAGATGCAGTTTTGTTAAAATGTTAAATCAGATGTTATTTCTCTGTTCAAAACAGTTCAATGGCTCCCTGTATTTCACTCTAAGAGCCAAAGTCTTTACAGTGGCCTAAGGCCCTTTCTCCCATTTCTGGCTTTCCCTCTTTAATCTCCTTTTATCCTCTCCCTGTCCGTCACTGCCTCCTTGCTGTGCCCTGGACACACCAGGTCCTCCTGACTTTACTCTACCTATTCCTTTGCCTAAAATGGTCTTCCCCCAGCTAGCACTACTTGACTAACTCCCTCACCTTCAGCTCTTTGTTCCAGTATCAACCAGACAATGATATCAGGTCATCCTGACCTTCCCATTTAAAGTTGTTACTTCTCCCCACCACAGTCTCCAAGACACTCTCAATTTCCAACTTCTCTTACCCTTTATATTTATTATTTACTGCCTGTTTCTCTCTGCCAGATTATAAGCAACAGACGTCTTTGTTAGCCACCACTGATGGATAGTCTAAGCACTAAAACAGTACCTGGCACAAAATAGTCCTTCAATAAATATACTCTAGGACCTCCATAGCTGACCACCTCCCTACACTGACCACATCTTTAATTTGACCTAATTCTCACATATGAGACATATACCACATGTATATATCAGTACAGTAGGCCTAGCTCCTTATGTTGACCACCTCCATATGTTGACCAGTTTAGTATAGTCTCTTGCATGGTCAACTTACAGAGGTTCTGCTGTATGTTGAATAAATGAAAGGAGGTTGGGGCAGTGGAAATTAAGATGTCTATTTTTAATGTATTAAAATTGAGATACCCACTGAGTATCCATGTGGAGGTATCAAATAGACTTTGTCTTCTCAGTTCATATACATGTTTACAATCCCGACAAGCCTACTAACTTAGTCTTAACCTTTTCTCTTAGAAGACAAAGCCATCTTTTAGCTTTCTCTTATCTTCTACCATCTTGGCACGCACAAGAAACTAGCAGGGCGCTGATTTTCCTATCCCTACTCACCCATATTTAGCTCTAACTATCATTAGATGATATGAGTCACCTTTAGTCACTGCTGACCTGTGATCATCTTTGGTAACTCTCACCTGTATATATACATATGGACACATATACACTATTCATTATACATGAAGTTTATTAAAAATATTTTCCAATTTTTGCTACTATAATGGTCATTATGTATAAGACATTATACTAAGATTATTAGAATTTATAAATA